CTTGCCGTTCGATAAGTAATCATACAAGCTGGAGATCAAAACAAACAAAGAAATTTAGATGTATTATAGCTTAAATGAATGCAGGAAAGGGCTAAATTTCTATGAGTCTTGACCGAGTAGCGAGTTAAAATTTGCATGATTCGTCGGGTAACATGGCCATGAACTTGAATTTTATATATTTACACAGAAATTTTGTAAATAGGTCTTTTCTCCTTTTAAATAAAAAGTGAAACAGTTTGCAGGTTTTTACTTTGACTTCAGAGGAGCGAGGATTGGTGACAATCACTTTCGAAATCAACATGGCGTCCTTAGCGTTGGGTCGTCATGTTCGTTTGTTTGTAATGGATGATCTAGTGTCAAAACTAAAAGGTTTTTCGTTTAACAAAGGAAAAGTAAAAGAAGTAATTGTTCAAATAGGGAGTTCTTTACATTTTCATAGAGAGAAAGATTTGTTCCTTTCTTCAAGTAAGAATAGTGATCGTGTTCACAAGCGTTTCGATCTAGTTGAAGTTATTACGTAAATAAATGTCTACGTTCTCGCTGTTGGATCCTATTGAAAGTGACATGTTAAGGTGAGATGTCTTATCAGTATCAATTAGTATACCTTTTATATTGATGTTTCTCACTTATAATTGTTGTGCGAAATGACCACTAAGAATTGTGCGAACATTCCAAAACTTGTGCTAAAAGACTTGTGCGAAAAGTTTTTTGTGCGAAATGTCCTGTAATCGATCATGATAATAAAAATGACACAAACAATTCATATTGAGTGACAGTGTGCTTTCCAATCAATGGCACACCTAAGAAAAGAGTTAGTTTTCAGTTTGTTTGTTTGTTTTTTTAAAAAAAGTCCTATTAGTCTTTCAGTACATAAATGCATCATCTCAGAGCTAGTAAAATGGATGAACAACAGTTTAAGCTTTACATTTTCTCATAGGTGAGTGAAAAGATTCTTGAACACTGGAGAGAGAGCTAGGTGAAGCTTAACAGAGCCTGATTATTGAGAGCCTCCTAGCAACACTCCCAGATATAATTAGTTGGGACACTTCTCCAGAATAATGTCTATATGATGTTCTTTTGGCCCTCTCTCCTTTCCTATATCATCAAATACCACTGTGTCTATGCCATCTTGCAGACCGAAATTGAAAGAAGCAGGGAAGACATTAAGTTTCCCAACAAATGTGTCTGTGAGTGGAGGTCATATATCTCTCCCCCTGGTACAAGTGGCAACTTCATGGGGCAGGTATAACAACATGTGATATCAACACCTAAGAAAATGAGTGAAGAAATGCATTGTCTCAACATAGCTGAAAGTGCTCACCACTCTTGTAAGAAGGGAAATCAGAATAAACAGTGAAGGCTCCCTCTACAGGACCATTTGTCATGATTTCCTTTTGAATCTGTTCCATTTCACTGCTCACAGTGTAAGAACTCTCTCCATACCTCTTGTCATCTTCATAACTAACATTATAACCTGTTCAATAAAATATCAAATAATAAGAAAAAAAGGGCTCACCAGACAATTTTTTTTTCAAGCTCTTACTCTTATCAATCCCACCCACAATTTAGCCTTTTTGTCTTTCATAGCTGTTAATTTTTTGTGAATAAGTTTCTCTTAGACATAGTTTGATGCTACTCTGGTTTACAGATTTAATGAATGTAACCCAAGAAGTTACAATTCATAGGCCCAACATTTCGACAGTCTTGTCTAGTGCCTTCATCAGGGGTGGTCTGAAGTTTCTCTTTTGTGTGTGTGTGTAAATGTAAATGATATCCCTCTAACTATGTGTGCATTATCACATAAGTAGAAAAATCTAAGTAGAATAAATATTAATTGTCTCTTAAGAATAATGTAAGTAAGTAGTGTAACGCAATGTACCTAGAGAGTCCTGAGAAAGGAACCTTAATGTAGTGAATGTAAGTATCATGTTTTCATAATATAAATAAATAATTAAATAATTAAAAAATAAAAAAAAAAGACAATTACTATAGAATAGAACTAAAAGATGTGCAAGGAAATGGATCAGTACTCTCTCTTTGTAAAGTTAATATATATGTGGAAGGAACACCTCTTGTCATTTTTATGTTTTTACACAGGTTTTAAGCAACATTTGTTCCTCATTTTTTAAGTGATCTTGCCTGGTTCACACTTCTTTTCACATCTAGGTGTAGGAACAATTGTTTTGCTGCAAGGTTGCAGTTTTCCCACAACATGGTGATCACAAGCTTTCACCAAGTATGGCTGACATCCTTTATGGGAGTCGTACTGTCCTCCTGTGACTAAACCTCTACTTTTCCAGTACTCCCTGAAAAAAAGAGAAAAAATTTTGTTTTAGGGACAGTCATTATTTAAAGCTTGGGGGGTAGGAGGGTGGAGGATTTAGGAGGCATAATCATATGGTTTTCAGAGGGGATAGAGGTGGGTCAGTTGTCACTAACAGAACATAAAGGGGAACTGTAGAAATTGATTGCCAATAATGAAGAATCATTAGCCTTGTGGGAGGGGGAGGGGGGGGGGGAGAATTAGGTAAATTCTACTGTGACATGACCTAAACCATCCAGCCCTTCCCAGGTAATAAAAAAATGACCATTACTAAATTTTTCTTGTCCACCAGTGTACTTGAATGAACCAATTCATGATAATGCTAATGAAACATCAATAGATTGGAACCGACCCATCCAATGACATACCAAAACAGACTTCTACATATTTAAATGAATACAAGATTATCTGCTTTCTTAGAGTAAAATATGTGGGGAAAATTTCTGAAAATTTAAGCTTCAGAATTAATTCTGTGTTATATTACTGAAATCTAAATTTTCAACCTAAAATAGCTGAAATTATAAGCAATATATGGACGATGGTTTTGAGAATTTAAGTTTAGAACTTGGCACTTACTGATAAAATTAATCAATATCTAATTTTTATTAATGTATTTTAATTTATACTATAATTACCAAGCGGCTTCAGGGAATCCTCCATTGCATCTGAAATAAATTAATAACAAATAATAATAATAATAATAAGGACAAATTATGATGAAAATGATAATAATTTGTATAAAGACATGGTTTCTATTCTTTTAACAAAAAGTTAATGATAATAGGATTCTGAATTATTATAGGGTTACTATGCCTTTACTAAGATCATTTTTCCTTTTTTTTTTTTTTCCTTTTCTTTTTCAGGCTTTTTAACTCTTAAAACTCCCATGTGACTTCTCTCTGAAATATCCATCCAGCAAACAGGCAATGAGGTTGTTATCTTAACGTAACACCAAACTCTTAAAACTTATTCACAAGGATATATGTAGCAGCAAGAGGGGAGAATTCTCAATCAGATATTTTGAGTTAACAGGCCAAAAATGACCATCAAAACTAAAAAGACAACCTCCATATTAACCCTTTAACTCCCATGAGTGACCAACACGGAATTTTCCTTACAATATCAATACAATATCAACCAGATAAGTGATGAGAATATCGAAAAATCTTGATTTGGGAATAATTAGTTGATCTGATACTAAATTCTCTGAACTAACAATATAAGAATTGTATGGTTGACAGTAAGGAGAATTACAAATTTGATCTGGGATTTAAAGGATTAGAGGGAAATTCCCACGGCCACCCACCCCATTCCACAAGATGAACAGCAGGAAAGTAAATCTTCAGCAGAAATGTGAGGTGTCAGTTTTCCATTTGACTTAATACAGATTCTGTCTGTCATAGCCTCCACAGCTCCAAATGCCTAGACAAGAAAAAACTAAAAAAATTATCTTCTGCAAGATCAGCAACTCTTAAACACTTTAAAGTCAGAAGCAAGAGATAAAAAACCAAAGAAAGTTAGAAAAGTAATATTAATCACAGGACTAAATTGGATGAGGTCTTGCGAGAAAACGCTTTCTTATTTAGCAAAATGTTATAGTCTCAAACATAACAGTAGAGTTCAAAATGGCAAACTGACCCAGCAACTTCCACAGGCACCTTGGTCACGGATTTCATTTGTTGAGGGGCAATCAGACCATTGTTCCCTGGAGTCAAATGTGGGTGGTATCTCTTGCTCAATGATTTCATAATCTGTCTTCACTAAGGATGCAAACAACAAATGTCAGATGAAAAAAAACAACAACAACAACAACAAAAAACAGTCATCAATTATTGCTGAAGTGGGGAGGTCTGAGGATTATGATTGTGTCACAATAAATTTGACCTAACCCCTCTTATGAGGCACTTTTGGGTAGATTTATTGCATTAACAAGAAAGTATGGCTCTAATGCAGTGATATCACATCCTATGTAACTGTAACCAATTCAAGTAGGCCCTCTCCAGATTTTCCATGACCATGATAAAGCAAATACCATAGGAATTGTGTATGGCAAGCTTTGATGACAATTTGGCTTAATCATATTTTTGTAGCAATATCAACTTTCTTTTTTTTTTCTTTTGCAGCAAGCTTTACAAAATTCTTTCTGGAAATTTTTCCGCATCTAAACACAGAAACTCGAGATTTTCCCTCGAGATTTTCCCTCGAGATTTTCCCTCGAGATTTTCCCTCGAGATTTCCCTCGAGATTTTCCCTCGAGCACAATTTGCTGGCTTCTTTGGTTACCCACCCGAAAAACTTAGTAGTCTCGCGAAGCAGGGTTGTCTAACTTACACATTTTCTGTAAAAGTCAACATGCAGAGCCAACTTTGACTACTTTATACAAAGAGACCGCGATCACCTCAAAATCCTTCTTATCAATTGACGATTACTCCAAAATCCTTGTGAAAGTTATCTTTACCTTATTTGAAAATGTGTATTACCCTTCAGTTTCGTTATATCTCGCCTGGTTTCGTTTCGTTTCGTTTCGCATAATTGAATAAGTCGAATTTACAGGTCCTTACGAAACTCCAGAATGATCTTAACTCTTATGACTGCGTACATGTTGAATAACTTACCTGCCAAAATCCCCAGCTTTAATGGCCTCGGTTTGATCTGATCATCTAGCGGGACGCCGCATAAACGCTTGAAATACTCAGCATCGTAACCAGCGTAATCTGGATCTGCTCTCCAAGTTGCGTACGTGTTAATGTAATCAATCTCTTCTACCTTGAGTGGTTCGTGCAGATATTTCGCCTGACACGAGATGAACAGCGCCACCAGAGTCACAAACAGAACCGCCATGGGAAGCAGAGATTCCGATTTCGGAGAATTTGAATTCTTTTGAGGCTAACAAAGCGCGAGCTGCTACAACAGAGTCTGCGGTAATGTCCTGTACGTTAAATTTATTAGTCACAAGACCTGAGAGGAAGTCACAAGACTTGAGGAATTTCGGTCACGAGTTTAGGTTCTTGAATTTCAATTTAGAAACTGCGCACGCTATGATGTATCACTCTAAGCAATAATAGCTATAACATCACTGTTTCATCGCAGCTGTAAGAAAACAAAAGTTGCTGCATCATCGACATGGGAACAGCCTGGACATGTGAAAATTTGAGATAGATATACGCGATGTTACTAATTTTATCACAAGCTCTGGAAAAAGAACAAATTTTTGTTACCTGATAGGCATCGAACCCCAGTCATACCGATTCCACCCTAATTAAAGTACTTTATCTCTATACTCGAAAGTGAATGAGTTAGCGCATTGTGTAAAATCGCACGTGGCAAAGGCATCATGTTAGTAAGTAGATTTGGAACGATGGTGTATACTGAGTCTAGTCGTAAGATAAAGGAAATCTTCTTTCCTATTTGTCCTTTTTTTTTTTTTTCTCACAGGTGCGGGACAAATAAAAATTTCTGCGAATCCCTGACAAGATCTTGTTGTGTTTTGTCTCTATTTTTGCGAATCATAGTTGTCATTTTAAACAGACCTATTTCTTTGTTGTATGTGTTTGTTATTTGTTATCTTCATTTACCCTATTCATTTATTTCTTTATTCGGACTGTTTGTCGTTGATTCCTCATCCAAGCCGGTTGTAATTAACATAGGGAGGCTGGAGTGGGCGTTGGCCGACAGCCGGCCGAGGCCAAGACTCATACCCAGTCGCCATTACGTGTTTTGTGGGGAGAGAAGATTGGATAATGAATTAAGGCGAGCGAAGCGATAGATCAGCCCGATTAACCTCGTTATTTCCCTTAAGGATCAGAAAAACCTGAACTCAGAGGTGAGGCCAGTTGGCCAGAGGCCGATTTTTTTTCTGCGTTTTTAGGGACCGAGAAGAAGTCGAGGTCCATGAAAACGCCAAACGCCACTTTGGCTATCATCCAACCATCTTGACCGAACGAGCTTGGTCAATAAAGGATTTAATATATTGCAAAACGATTTTGCTTTGTCCAGAATGACATGTTTATTTATTTTGAGAGCCGGGAAAGAAAGCCAACTGTATATGTAGCACAAAAACACACAAGAGAAATTTATGTTTTCTTTGTTTTTCCGCTTTTTGCGACTCAATAGTTAATATTGTCAAAAAGTTATTACTGGGATACCTG